TCTCTCTCTCCCTCTCTCTCTCCTTTCTCTCTCTCCTCTCTCTCTCTCCTCTCTCCCTCTCCTCTCTCCCTCTCCCTCTCTCTCTCTTTTCGGCCTGCAGGAAACCTGCCTCCAGACACCTGCCTGCTTTGTGGTTTAGAATCCCCGTCAGAGCACTGTGCGGCTTGCAATCAGAGTTTGTGCCCTAACTGCGATTGGCTGTTTCATAAGCATCCTTCCCGGACACATCACCATCGGGTACCCATGAAGAACCCCGGCCGGGCATGGCAGAGTCCCCCACCGCCCCCCAACCCCAGGTAGCCCCTTGTGTGCAAGTCTCCAAGCCAGCCCTCTCGACGCGCCGCCTTCCAGGCTCTGACACTTCCCTGCAAAACGGGGGAAATGGTTTCCAGTTTCTGACTTCCGGGTACACAGCAAAACGCCCCTCCATTTATTTTCCCCTTGTGGAATTATTTCTCCCCCCGTCCAAAAAGATGCATCTAGGATACAGGTGGTCCTTGACTTAACGGCCACAATGGGGCCCAAATTGTGAGCGAGTTGCGAGCGATTTTACGGCTCCTTTTTGCCACCGCGGCAAAGCAAATTGCTACAGTCCTTAAGCGAATCATGCGGCCGTTAAGCAAATCCCATTGACTTAGCTGGTGGAAAGCCGGCAGGGAAGGTCACAAATGACGATCACGCTGCGACCGTCAGTTGCCCGGCGCCCGAATTTTGATCACGTGTCCGTGCAGACACTACGTGACGGACATAATAAGTGGCTTCTTCCAGTGCCATTGTAACTTTGGTCATTAAACGAATGGTTGTAAGTCAAGGCCCCATCTGCATGTACCAGATCATCATCATCTTTCAACGACCCCATAATCCCTTGCGCGGTGGAGTCGGGGCTACTGAATCGAGCTGAGTGTTTACTGGCCGGATGCCCTTCCTGTCGCCAATGCGGAGTCGTTCCCCCCCACCCGCCCCAACTAGATATATTCTTATGGTGCCCAGAGAGAGAAACCTGTATGCACCAGATGGTTTATTCAAATTATGGAATTGATTAATGTATTGGTTAGTCATTCAATTGTGATTGATTCAGTTTCGGGTTCCCGTCTCTTTGCAGCCTCTCTAGCATCCCCTCGGAAACGACTTCCTTGCGGGCCCCCAGCCTCCCCCCGCCCTCATCCTCCCACATCATCCCCAGTCAGCGCCCTCCCTGGCGCTGCGCGGCGTGTCAGAAGAACAACGACGCCTCCTGCATCCTCTGCATAAACTGCGACCGGCCTCGGGGGTGCAAGACCCCCCAGAACCTCGGCCTGGAGGACGAGCTAACCAGCCAAGGCCAGCTGGCCAGAGGACGCTGGTCCTGCCAAACCTGCACCTTTGAGAACGAGTCGGCCACCGTCCTGTGCGCCGTGTGCGAGAGGCCGCGCCTGGCTGGGAGACCAGGCACCGGCGACGCCAAACCCCTGATCGCCTGGGGGGAAGAAACCGGACCTCAGCAGGAAGATGTGAGTACGGGGGCTTCCAAGAGGAAGCGCTTTCTAATGCAGGGCTAGAATTCACTGTCACCCAGCGGTTGGCCAAAAGTCACCCAGATAGCTTTCCTGCCTAAGGCGGGACTAGAACTCACCATCTCCTGGGGATTGGCCGAAAGTCACCCAGATAGCTTTCCTGCCTAAGGCGGAACTAGAACTCACCGTCTCCTGGGGATTGGTCCAAAGTCACCCAGATAGCTTTCCTGCCTAAGGCGGGACTAGAACTCACCGTCTCCTGATGATTGGCCCAAAGTCACCCAGCTGGCTTTCCTGCCTGAAATCAGGCATCGAGACCAAACATGGTTAAGATCAGACATCAAGATAAATACCAAAACTGGCGCGACTAAGATCGGAGATTAAGGCTGATTTATGAGGTCTTTTCTTTGCCGTGTCCGATCTTCGCCGTGCCTCGCCTCAATGTCAGATTGAACGCCTGCTCTCATGGGAAATGTGGGAATTGTAGTTCCGCTTGTGCGCGCCCGTGTGTGCACGCACATGCATGCGTGCGCTTTCTTTGGGCGTCCGATCCCGAACGTCTGGTTTTAGCCATCACAACATCTTATCTCACCAATGCCCATTTTTTGAGGTCAGATTTTAGCTGTCCCCCCTACCTCGGTGTCCGATCTTCGCCCTGCCCGATGGGTTACCCCCTGGCGCTAATCTTGGGCCCGGAACCCCCCCCCCCCCGCCACCTGTCTCTTTCCGCAGGCCCCCAGCTGGCAGTGTGACCACTGCACTTTCCGCAACAGCGTCGGCCGACGGATCTGTGAGATGTGCAACTGCACCAGCCTGCACGGCGATACCCAGCCCTCCCTCGCCCGGGAAGAGAAGGAAGAGGTGGGCAGGATGAAGCGAGGGGTGGTGGAAGCCCCCGGGGAGCCCCAGGGCCTCTGGAGAGCCCCGTCCGTCCCGCCCGAGGACGTGGAGCATCAGAGGCAGGAGAAGCTACGGGACGACGGTCAGAAGATGGTGGACATGATCAGGGTGAGTTCTGCCCCCACACACACCTGCAAATCCACTCCCCCTCCTCTTCCAATCACTTTTGAGACACACACACACACATACGCTTTTTCGTCTTTTTCACATTGAATGCCGGCTGTCGTGGGAATCGTAGCCCCCACACATTTTCCGGGGGTGCTGTCTTTTGGGGTCCCAAGGACCTTCGGATAGGAAGCAATACCGGGCTGTACGAACAGAGGGGATCTATTCAAGATCACACGAAGCGTTAATACGGCTTTATGATGCCTTGGAAAAGCCACACTTGGAATACCGCATCCAGCTTTTGGTCGCCACGATGTTAAAAAAAAGAAGTTAAGACTCTGGAAGGAGTGCAGAGAAGAGCAACGAAGGTGATTAGGGGGCTGGGCGCTAAAACATGCACAAAGAATGGTTGCAGGAAATGGGTATGTCTAGTTTAATGGGGGGAAAAAGGATTGGGGTAGCATGATAGCAGTGTTCCAGTATCTCAGGGGCTGCCACAGGAAGTCAGGCTATAGATGGATGGAAAAATAGAAAGAGAGACAGACAGACAGACAGACAGATGATAGGAAAATTGGATAGATAGATGAGGGAGGGAGGGAGAAAGATGATAGGTAGGTTTAGTGGATGGGTGGATGGAGAGAGGGAGAGAGAGATGCATAGATACGTACGTATCTATATATATATAAAGGCAAAAGACGACCCATGCATCGTCAAAATCTCCAGAACCGTAAAGTCTACAAACTTGAAATTGGGCACATATGTTCCTCTTGGTGCTTGGTGCTCACTAAGAAAGGATTTTTTGAAATGACCATCAGAGCATTTAGAGTATTTCTTATATTATTATTATTATTAACACACTGATGCAAAGGAGTTCCACTCCTCCCCACCTGAAAAGAAATCTCTTCCAAATGCAAAACACAAGCAGAGGAGTTTCGGTTTCAGTTTCACAGCACCAAGCAGCTTTAGTACAGAACAGTTGAGCTAAGTCATGCCCAGGCTCCTTGCTGTCTCCATGCTCACACAGCAAATACTCTTTCAGTTTCCAAACAGCCCTTAACTCTCACACACACTGACAGGACGCTAGCCAGATGAATTCCGATCGATGCTGGTAGTTAGAGGCAGAATTTTTTCCCATTATTTTCCTCCCCAAAAACTTAAGCACAACCATATAGTTTCATAGCGAAGCACGGGTATCAAGCTAGTTGGATATATAGTTATAGGTATAATGTAGATACAATTATGCGTATACATATTATAGATAGACACCTAGCTATGCGTGCCTTGGTGTCTGTGCGTGTATGTTTATCCTGCCTTTTTAAATTTAATATCTCCAGTTAGCTAATATACATAATACTCTCCACCAATTTTCCCCACAACAACAATGACGCTGTGAGGTGGTGTTGGCCTGAGTGCAAAGGATTGGCCCGGAGACACCCAGCCAATGGCAGGAGGAACCACCCATTAGCCACGGTTGTCTCCTCGGGGGAGGGGGGTTATGAAATGGTCATAAGTAGAGGACTACCTGAAACTCATTGTCCTTCCAGCCAATATAGTTGCTAGAATCCTGTCACCTTGGCCCCACAGGAGGCGGAAACTGTAGGCGTAGCCCCCGAAATGGTGGCGGCCGCCTTGTGCTACTCGGGAGCTGAGCTGCCCCTGGCCTGGCTGAAGTCGGAGCTGCCCTGTGTCCTGGAAGGTATGGCGGAACTGGCTACTCAGCGAGGCGACAAGGAGCCCGACGGCGGCCTGGGCGCCATAACCCTCCAGGAAGTCCAAACCGCCTGGGTGGCCAGCCGGGGCGACGTAGATGACGCCGTCAGCCGTTGCCTCAGTGCCCGTCGGAGCAAGGTGAGCCTTGACAAAATGCATGGGAAAATAAGTGTTTTTCAACCTTGGTCCACTTTAGGACGGGCGGATTTCAACTCCCAGAATTCCCCAGCAGGCACAACAGTTCCCCATTTCATTGCCAAGCTGTAAGGTCCAAGCTGAAGTTTCCCCGAAGCCAAAGAGAGTGAGACTCGAAACGAGGCTTGCAAAAATAGCGGCCTTTTTTTTATTCTTTGGCCAAAGCGAAAAGGTCTGCGTGAATACGATGTCCAAAACATACAGACAAAATGCATGTAAGGAATAGCCAAACCGTGCGAGAGTGGCTCAGAGTATTATATACATTTCACGTTGATAGAAACTAAGTTTATCCAATCAGAGACAAAGGTTCGTTATTAATGTGGGCAATGTCTTGCCCATGGAGCGTTCTTTGTCCGTTCTCCGTCCATACTTTGTTATTTTACACAGTATCCCTTGTCCTTGTGGGTTCATGCTCCTGGATAGCTCCTTCCCACCTCCTCACCCCCATCTATGGAGCAGGACGTTCATGGGAATCGTCTCCAAGGATGCGTCTAGCCCTGAAGCAAATTGCAGAGGCGAGAAACCAGATAGAAAAGGATACGATTCTCTTACAGAACGAATTCCGAACAAATGATTCCCATCCTCACCAAATTGTACAAGCAACTTCTTTAACAGATGCAGAGAGCAGAGGTTAGATTGATTCATGTCAATACGTCCTTTCAAAGCCATCTAGCTAGCCCATCTTTAACTCAGTTATTAATTTAGCTTGTCATGGGTTATTTTTTTTTCTACTTTGCTGAAGTCAAGATATATTACATCTGCTGCCTTCCCACCATCTACTAAGAAAGCTTCCCTATGGAAAAAAAAATGCGACAAAGGTAATCCAGCCATACAGGTAGACCTCGACGTGGTATCATAAGAGTCGTGGCTTACGTTTAACGTAAGCCTCGACTTTCAGGCGTTCATTTAGTGACCGTTCGAAATTACGACAGCACAGAAAAAAGCGACATAAGATCACTTTTCACACTTACGACCAGTGCAGCGTTCCTATGGTCACACATGATCAGAATTCAGATGCTTGTCAACTGGCACGTACTTATGACGGTCGCAGCATCCCCTGATCCCCTTTTGCGAGCTTCTGACAAGCCAAGCCGATGGGGGAACCTAGCTTCAGTTAGCAACCATATGACCTGGGATGGGATTCTATCAGTTCGGGCTGGTTCGGGCAAACCGGTAGTTACGGCGATGATTTGGACCCACCCCCTGCCCTATTCTGTCCTTTATTTCCGGGGTTTTCAGCTCAGCTGTTTGGCGCGGCACAGCAGATATCCGCGCCTCGGCTGATTTGCTCACCGGGACTCCAGCAGAAGGTAAGTGTCAACTCATAAAACATTCCCGTGCCCGGTTTTAGTAGTTGCCATAAAAAGGGGGGGGGAAGGGGGAGGAAGGAAATCTGGAAGAGCAGTGCAGCGGTTTGAAAGTGAAAGTACATTCCAACTCTTATCTGTAAAAGATTGGAACTAAAATACCAGAGCTTTTGCCCGGGAATATATTGAATTGGAGAATGTGAATGACGACACCCAGCCCATGAACAGGGTCAATTGGAGGATCTGGTCTATGAGACACCCAGGGGGGAGCGGGGGAAACAGGGTCACACGGGACTGTAAGTGACGTATGTCAGAGTTGGCTTCATACAGGGCAGTGCCTCTAATGAACCCTTTGAAGTTTCTTGAAGTTTGGCTCGAGAATCATGATTTAATTAGGGCGATGGCTGGAATCCTGACAGAGCGTTTCTCAAACTCTGTGCGTGCTCTCACCAAACCAGTCATTACACCCGGTTGAATCGCACCCCCTGCATACGACTAACTTAAGAGCTGCAGTGATTCGCTTAACAACTACAGCAAGGAAAATCGTCACATGGGGGAAACTCACTTAACAGCTGCCTCACTTAGCAACAAGAAAAGTTGAGCTCAACTGTGGTCGTTAATTCGAGGACTACCTGTGGTCCCTCATACCCATGCCCAATTCTGGTCAAACCCTTGGTGGCTGGGGGAATTCCAGGAGTTGAAGTCCATCCCTCTTCGGCCTGACAAGGTTGCCTAAAGATATGTCAGGTTTATTTCTTGAAAGGGGACGCTAACAGGGTTAGATCCTGGTTAGGGCTCGGTTTTGGGAAGGTGACGCCAGGCTTGGTTTGCTCCACAGGTGAGACAGTTGAAGTCCCTGGGCTTTGAAGAGCGGGGCCCTGCCTTACAGGCCCTGTACGAGAACAACGGCGATATATGGCGTGCCATGGTGCAGCTGCAGCGTGCCCGCCTGGCGCCTTTCCACCAGAGGCTCTGGGAGAGCGAAGACCCTCCGATGAACTTCCAGAGCGCCGACCGACAGGTAAGCGGGAGAGGAAGGGAAGGGAACCCGGGGCCGGAGATCCAGTGGGAGGCACCCCTGGTCTTTTTTTCGTCTCGTTCTTCGCCAGGCGCTGCTGCGGCGTCTCCTGGCCTCGCTGTCTCTGCCCAGCTGGGGCCGGGCCGAGCTGGTGGTCTCATTGATGCTGGAGCAGCCGGACGAAGGCTGGGAGCTGTCGGACATCGTGGAGGCTGTCAAGGCCTCCCCAAACCGCGACTTCATCAAACGCTTGCTCAGCTGGGAGTGCGCCGTCTGCAGCCTGGCCTTGCCGCGGAACAAGGTACCGACGTGCAACTTTCATCCATGGCGGGGCTTGGTTGACTGCGTCCGACCCGTCATTCAGTTTCAGTCACCACAATGTAAAATAATATGTTGAAAGTCTTTTAGGAAGAGTGCAGAGAAGAGCAACCAAGATGATTAGGGGACTGGAGGCTAAAACATATGAAGAACGGTTGCAGGAACCGGGCCTGGCTAGTCTAGGGAAGAGAAGGACCAGGGGAGACATGATAGCGGTCTTCCAATATTTGAGGGGCTGCCACAGAGAGGATGAAGGGGTCAAGCTATTTTCCAAGGCACCTGAGGGCAGGATGAGAAGCAATGGGTGGAGACTAATCAAGGAGAGAAGCAATTTAGACCTAAGGAGAAATTTCCTGATGGTTAGAATAATTAAATCAATGGAACAACTTGCCCCCAGAAGTTGTGAATGCTCCAATACTGGAAGGTTTTAAGAAGAGACTGGACAACCATTTGTCTGAAATGGTATTAGGGTTTCTTGCCTGACCAAGGGGTTGGACTAGATCAGGAGTCACCAACCTTTTGGACCTCAGGGACCACCAAACTCATAATTTTAAATCCCAGGGGACCACTAACCAGTTCTGTGGGCGTGGCCTAATTTGTGGGTGTAGCTTGGTGGTCATGTGACTGGCTGGGCATGGGTTGTATGTAAATATTATAAATATTTATATAAATATTGAATTTTTTATTAAAAAAAGAGCAACTTTTACCCAAAATCAGGCAAAGCAGGCAGGCAGATTGAGCTGCTTACAGAATCACAGATTCATTCAAAAATCTATCTATCCGCCATCAGCTAGCTCAGTCTGTCACACAAAATTTGCTTGCAAGCAAACTCACAAAATTAACTCACAACACACCATGTATGTAAATATTGAATTTTTTTATTTAAAAAGAGCAACTTTTACCCAAAATCAGGCAAAGCAGGCAGGTAGATTGAGTTGCTCACAGAACCATTCAGTGATCTATCTATCCGCCATCGGCTAGCTCAGTCTCTCAAATTCGTTTGCAGTGAGTCTGCGCTGAATAATAGAACCTTCAGTCCTAAGCGAGGTTTGGCTGTGCTTAAAAGCAGAGCCGAGGATCTAAAGACTAGCTAGAAAGCAAGAAATCCAGCCATATCCTGCTTTCTAGCTAATCTAAATCTTCCGGCACAGCAGAACAAGATGATGGTCGGAAAAAGGAAAAAAAGCAACTTGGCAGGCAAGTTTGCCTGGTGAGGAGTGAGTGGGCGGGGAGGGTTTCCACGGGCCATGTGGGTTTCCGCAGGCCAATTTCTGCACAGCCTGGATTAATTGCTTTGGGGGGAGTGCTCTGGGGGTGAGATTTCTCTTCGGCCCACCAAAATTTTCTCATGGCCGACCAGTGGGCCGCGGCCCACCGGTTGGCGACCGCTGGACTAGATGACCTCCAAGGTCCCTTCCAACTCTGTTAACCTGTAAGTCCTTCTCTCTTCAGATGCAGTCACTAACATCGTGCGAATGTACAATTTGTCCAGAGTGTTTTGCTTTGCACTTCACCATTGCCGTAAAGGAGAAACACATCACGGATTTAGTGTGTCCAGCTTGCTCCGAGCCGGAGATCAGCGATGAAACTGAACTTCTAAATTATTTCTCTACTCTTGATATCCAGGTGATGCTTCTCCTGTCCCATTTCTTCCCTCATTTCTCTGATTTTGTGCCAGTGTATTTTTATTGATTTTTAGAAAAGAGTTTATTTATATATTTTTAACATCCATAAGTGCTTTATGAACCGCGTATTATTTGTTGCAATTTGCTTACATAGTAGTATGTAATATAACGATATATTAAACAGACGACATACCAAATAGAATTTTTCCGATTTCTAATTTCTACTTCTGTTGACAAACTATTTATAAAATAAGTCCCCATGTTTGAAAATATTCTGTATCTTCTTTATCTTTTTTCTTTAATGTCAACCTATCCATTTCTGCACAATCTAGGTTTTTTTTTTTAAATTACATCTTCTATGGGCTTGTCCATGCATATACAATTGTTGCTCCCGTCAACACATGTAATATTAAATATATATTCCCTTTATCATATTTTTGTGGTACTATGCCTAACAGAAATATTTCTGGCTTACAATCTATGTGTTGCTTTAACATTTTTTCTAACCGTGTATGTATTTTCGCTTTTGGACATGTCTACCACATATGATAATATGTGCCCAATGTCTGATTATAGTTACAACATTTGGCAGACATATTTTTAAACATCTTTGCCAGTCTTGCTGATGGTAAATACCACCTATAAAACATTTTATACAAATTTTCCTTAGATGCAGTTGCCATTGTCAATTTATAATTTCTATCCCAAAGTTTTTGCTGCTTGTCTAGTTCTATAGTATATCCCAAAAATTTTTGTCCATGTTATCATTGTTTCTTTCACCTGTTCATCTTCCATTTTTAGGCTTAATAAAAGCTACGGTATAGATTTTCTTTATTTAACTTTTCATCTGTGGCTAATAATACTCTAGTTTTGAGTGTTCAAATTTATATTAATCTATCTATTTTATAATATATGAAAATAGCACCCAGAAGAGGGGAGGAAAAGGGAGGAGGAAGAAGTGTAGGATAAAGGGAACAAAAAAATGAGAAGCATTAACTTCCTTTTGGGCGTAGTAGAATAAGCGAATAACAGAGAGTATCAGCTTTCAGTTCAGAAGTGGTTTCCAAGTGGAAATGAAACTAGGCAGAAGTTCCTGCCTTGCAGTTATATATTTTATTTATTTAAACAAATTGATAGAACCACCCAGCTTAAACCTAGCTGACCAGTTAACAAGGCTTAAAAAAATTTAAAATATCATAAAAATATCATTAAAACAAGCCATTAAAACAATCCAATTTGCCATTCTGTGCCAACTCCATCCCTTAATTGGCACATCCAAAATTATCTCTGTTGTCTGCACACAGATGGCCCTCGACTTATGACCACAAAATTGCTAAGTGTGACATTTATTAAGGGAGTTTTGCCCCATTTTACGACCTTTCATGCCACCGTTGTTAAGGGAATAGCTGCAGTTGCACATGGTTATTAAGTGAATCCGGCTTGCCCCATTGGCACTGTTTGTCAGAAGGTCGCAAAAAAGGGACTGTCATAAATACGAGACAGTTGGCAAGCATCTGAGTTTTGGCTATGGGACTCTGGGGGATGCTACAACGGTCGTAAGTGTGAAAAGCGGTCATAAGTCACTTTTTTCAGTGCTGTTGTTAACGGTCACTAAATGAGTTGTTGTAAATCGAGGATGAGCTGTATAGCAAAGTTACAAAAATGTCTTTCAAGGCCCTCATGCATCAAACCCACAAGAAAGTCTTTCTGGGGTCTTTTTTAGTTTAGTTTATTGTCATTGCACCTCCAGGGGTGGGATTTTAAGCAGTTCAGAGAACCGGATGTTAGAAGAAATTACTGGCCTAATCCTGTAAGGAAGGCGGGAAGGAAACATTCTGGTGTTGCTTACAGAAACTGCCTCTTCGTTAACCCTTATTACATTCTTGGCAGGACTGGACTTCCTGTCTCAGGAACTTCTCTGGAGCTTTTCCCCCCCCCCCTCCTTTGCTGGTACTTTACTTGTGTGGAGTCAAAGTTACAATGGCACTGAAAAAAGTCACTTATGACCCTTTTTCACACTTACGACTGTTGCAGCATCCCCACAGTCATGAGATGCGTGCTTGAATGTGAGTGATATTGAGTTGGCCGCGCCCAGCCAATAACATGACCACCAAGCCATGTCCACCCAGTCACACGCCCACCAACTAAGCCACGCCCACAGAATCGGTTGTTAAAAAATTTGAATCCCACCCCTGTGTACCTCATACGACCAAATTAAATGCCATCTTCAGTGTACATTATATTATAACTATACATATAAAAACACAAACACACACCCTTTGCATTCTATACAGCTGAATTGATATTGATATAATTGATATAATTCGCATTGCACTCACTATACAGTAGAATTCAATAGAGTTACTGCTTTGGTTGAGAGATGTCCGGTTGGCCCTTTGCAAACTTTTTGGGGGTACAGATCCCCTCAATTTTTTTAAAATTGGATTTCTCCACAGTTGCGCAGTTGTTTGGATCAAGAGACTTATGACCTTTTCCATAAGAAGCTGACCGAACATGTACTAATGCAGGACCCCAAATTTCAGTGGTGCACCCATGTGAGTATTGTGTTTCTTTTTTTAATGTATTATTTTATTTATACATTTTTCTTTAACATACGTAAGTGCTTAGTAAACAGTGTACTGTCTGAGTCCATTTACTTATACATAATAATAATAATAATATTTACTTGTACCTAATGATATCATTTCCCTGAAAATACGACCTACCCTGAAAGTAAGTCCTAGCTTGATTTTTACATGTGTGCCCAATATAAGCCCTATCCCCCCC